CATGCAATTTTCAGCCGATAGTTAACAACTAGAGTATTCTACACAGGAAGTTTACTATCTGCTACACACCTCAAACCGATAAATTACTCGTCAAAGGTAGTATATCAGTTAATAAGGTTGTAAATCTTCATCAACTGAGGCATTTAAAACATGTGTTACGTATACCTAACCACCACCCACCTCGACGAGCTTGCTTGTGTAGAAGTAGGTTTCAGGGAAGCTATGGGTGGCCAGACCAAGACATGGCATTAGTCCATATAGTCACTGACTGTTGCTCCAACCCATGTTGACAGAATCCAACTATCTGGTCGGGGTTCGCGTGATAACCGTGATCAAGTTTGGGTAACACAGCTTGAAATTGTCCACAGTGGTTCAGATGCACTTATTATTTATCTTTTCGATATTGTACTCCAGTATCCCTTCGTGCATACCTTTCCACCATCTTTTTAAACCATATTACTAAGATTGTCTTTCGTTTTACGATTGCTACAATATTATTTTGTTATGCCAATCTAGTTCGACAACGCGGACCAGCGTACGTCTGTCTGAGGTCTCTTTCTTGAGATGTCTTGCCTCAAAACAACAGCTACTAGTAGGTGTAATGAACTTTGCTGGTTTATATATTTCTGTTGCTTATAACGTGAAACAGAATTTCTTTGCTACAGACCTAAGAAATTTGATTAGTAACGACGACGTTTTCGACCCGGAACTGTGACCGATTAGTTAGAAATGCAACTACTTGAGCCCAGTCGCATGACTTTTTTGTTGTTAGCTTCGTACTTTTTAAAGCTTACCAACAGGACTGTATTATTCTCGATCTGAGATTAATTAGAAGCAACGGCCACCAGACATGCTGACTACTTGTGGGAATCACTACTACGAGTACAATGCAGTAGATGATTTAACTCATCCAACTAGTCAATAACAACGTAGAACCTGACGTAAAGGCATATAACTTTTTAAATTAGAACTTGCTATTTTTGATCCTGTTGTTTTCTTAAATGACCTATTGGGATGAGAAAACCTCAAGAAATATGTTCCAAACGAAACAGCGCAAGCAGGTAGTCACGAAGGCTAAACTAGTCCACTGTGTCGAGGTAACAACAAAAGTCGTGAATGTATAAACTGATAATGTAAGTGAGTATAATGTAGACGACCTGGAATCCTTTAAAATAACCAATAAACAAACTATCTTGAATTTATTGGGTTTTGCTGAAGTAGTTGCTAAAAGAAAGGTTTAAGCCAAATTTATGTATACAGAAAAACATTGTTATTGACCTTGTTACGTTTACACAGAATTACTTTTAGGTGTTTGTTGCGTGACTTTTTACAACCTTAATTATGACTGTTAACTCACATCTTGTCTGTGCTTTACTCAGCCAGTCAATTATTTAAGCATTACGTTAACAAAGACGTTAATCCAACATTCCTAAAACTTTTGTTTCAATGCTCTTTACAGTTTACTCCTCCAAACATGTTTAGTCTGGAGAAAACGACCTTTTTTAACAATTTTTTAATCTCTTTACAATTGCTTATTGTTAAGTTACATCTACATGTCTTAATCAGAAAGATAAACATAGAGCACCAAGTACCTGAACACAAGACATTCATACTAGGAAATAATTTAGACCATTACTTAGCAATCGGGAAGACTATAACCTCTGGACGAACCAATAAAATTAAAGATGGCACGTTTTAGATTTTGGCGCAATTCATTCGTTCATATGATTAAATAGAAATTACAGGTGATATTAGTTTGTGAAGAGAACCCTGAATTTAATTCCTGACCATAAACTCTAACTCTAAATTCTAATCCTGATTCCTCAGACTAGTTTATAAATTTCTCTTAGACCTGGCAAGGTGTCCTTTTCAAGGCCACTATCCACGTCCATAAATTATAGTCTCACCCAGCAGTGTATTACGCTGCTCAACTAGGAATACTACAAACTGTCCTGCTCATAGTAAGGATCTTAGTGAACATGTTTTGTCATTGCAGAAACTTTAAAGGACTTACTGAATCTCTTGTAGAATTCAGCTGGATGATAGTGTACAAGCTTTGTAAACAACCTTCCCGAAATCTAATTAGCTTTATGCTGACATGAAGCCGGAAAAATAAGCTTAACGATCTATGTAAGTTGTTCTGAGAACTTGTCTACAATACTATGATAATTTCCAAACCAGGAAGTTTGGAAACCTGAAGTTCAAGTCAAGTTGCCTAAATGTTTATGACAGATTCTTAGGATAAGAGTAGCCATTCAAGATCGTTACTGTAAATGTTTTACGAACTTTAAAACCTCATGCAAGCCAGTAAACAGATAGAGAGATCAAATCAAAAACTCATGGCTAAGAAATAATAAAACTGATTTATGTTCAGTTTTCACAGTGCACATTTTAATCCTACAACCAAAACCCTCATATTAAAGGAACTCACACAAGTGAGCCCATTTTTCACCACTTAATGAATAGTTTTGCAGTCTCAATTCAATGTTTACGTTAATAATCATGTCAACATAACGACGTCACAGAATGATAATCCAGAAACATTGATCAGTGTTTTATCATAAATCGGCTTTATGTAAAGAATTTATTTGTAGTCACGTGACCATACAAAAGTTGCACCAAGGCAATGTGTTGAGCAGAAGCGTAACAGACTTCTCTGAAAAATCACAGATTTCCAAGGAGTCTTTAAAAAAACCAGACTACCACGATGATCGCCAACACTCTTAAGTATATTGTAAACTTTCTTGAGTTCGATATAAGTACAGTTCGCCTTTAAAGGCAAACAAATGTTGACATATATGCTGGCAGAGGAATTACACGGCTCGCTATAAGAAAATAAACAAATCTTTTCTTCCTATATCCGAAGTCCAATCTTAAATCAACTTCGGAGAGCAAGGGGACTCAACTATCGTGCAGTGACTTTTATATATACATGATATGAACCACAGCTTAAAACACAACTTCATCGAATATAAGCATAATGAATATAACACACAATTCGCGATTTCGGAATTTTAGCCCGGCCTTCAACTTTCTGAAATCTAAGAGCCCGCTCTTCAGTTTTGGAGGACCCGCCTAACGTGATGTTCTCACATTCACTAACTCGAGGCGCGATACCAGGAAATCGGAAGCTGGCTCACATTAAACATATTTTCCAAGTAGATCGACGCAGTGAACTTTCAAGCTACCGGTCAGTAGCACTTCTCTCTCAACACCCTCAAAATTATGGAGTTACTGATTTGTGACGGTTTACGTAACTGCTTTCTATTCATAAAATTCTTTTCATCCCAACAGCACGGTTTCAGAAACGTTCACTCTCGTATAACCAATCCGCCGATTGCGGTGAACAGATCAACAAAATTCCTTGATCGCAAGGGGAAGTTTGACTTCCCAAATGCTTTTGGTGATGTCAACCATTTTTGTCTTAGCAATAAGCTCAAACAATTGGGTATCAAAACACCTTCAAATGACTGGCTCACTTCATATCTAAAAATTGACATTTTAGGGCAAGGATTAACTTCACTATCTCTCAGGCTATGGAATGTCCTAGTAGGGTCCCCCAGGGTTCAGTACTAGGACATCTCTTCTTGGTTTATAAAAACCACCTTTTACACCAGGTATAATCAGATGATGTTAAGCTCTGGTGAGAAGCTCACAACCACAAGGAGAAATTGGCACTTCAGGAGGATCTGACTCGCCCTCAAAGTTGTGCGGACAACAACCGACATATGTTTGACACTCCGAAGTGCAAAGTAGTCCATCGGTGACATGTTGCAGACTACAGATACAACTTAGGCGACTCCCTTCTAGAAGTATCCCAAGTTGAAAAAGATTTAGGAGTGTTGGTACCTTGTGATCTGAAGTCTCACGCTAACTGTGACAAAAATGCCTTTCGAGCAAACCTTGCACTCGTAACATTGAAGCGCATTTTTGGCCAGTTTGATGGAGGAACTTTCCACATAATCTTAAGCAGTCTTTTCGACTCCATTTAAAGCGTGGCAGTATATTGTTTCTGCCCTCAATCCAAAAGGATAAGAACACATTGGAACGTATCCAATTGTGAACCACGAAATCAATTTGGGGACTAAAATTTAATCCCTATGAAGAGCGCCTCAAATTGCTGAACCTTTACCAATCAGAGTATAGGTGTCTTAGAGGTGAAATTGTGGTGACTTACAGCATTCTTAACACTTAGCTCCAACACAAACCTCAAGGGTAACACCCAGAAACTAGAGACACAACACAGAAGAACGGACTGTTGACATAACTTCTACTCCTTTAGAGTTGTCAGATGCTGGAATTCGCTGCCGGCTGAGCTAATCCAGGTGACTTTCCAGGAGTCCTTCAAGAGGCAACTTGATATATTCTTAAGGACTAAGGGTTGAAGATGACACGGGTATTCAGTGTTTGACAACGCTTTTACCAGTAACACCTTCTAATATAACTCGTACCCACCAGGAGAAATCAAAAGACAGAATCGAGGAGATCGGAAGCTGTATTTGATGATTGCCGATATATCGGAATTATCTGATTTAATCTGGCTAACGATTGCAGTAGCAGTTCCCACACGTGATCTGGTGCGGATGCATGACCGAGCGCCTTCAGCTAGATGAGTCCACCAAAACATATGGTCAGCATCCAATGTCGAAAACTCACAGAGCTGTTGATTTTGGGGATTTATCTACCGCTACAGGGTAATCTGTTACTATGAATTACCAATTTCTTTTTTTTCTACTATCGTTAATAAACTGAGGTTCTTGCTTAGAGGTATTGGTGATTCTCTGCTACTAGACACGGAAGTTCGTTATGCGAAAGCTTCTTCTATTCCGTTCACTACTATTTGAAACTTTATTTTGTGATTATAGAACTTCTGGAATATCCATGTCACCATCGACTGATGGAAATCGATTGGATGGTTTATACGTTCTGGTAAAATAGTTATGGTTTGTTGCTAATATTTGTTGTCTTGCATCATAGTCGTTGGCTTGTTTTGTCGGTTTAATGTCTTCCCCGGTATTTACAAGAGTCGGCAAATCACTGCTGCGTGTTTGTCTATTGGCGCAACGTCGTGTCGTGATTTCGTCCGGTAATGTCACATTAATGCTTTGTTCTGTATGTCTCTCCACATTAGTAGATATTTCGTGGTAGGTCTTGTAAAGTATGTGAGTATGGATAGCATCATGTTAAACTTAAATAGCGTGTCATGAATTAAGTCATTATTGAAGACCATGTCTAAATTACAATAAAGGCTGTCAAGTAATATAGGTAGTTCATGCTCACATCTCATCACTAATTCGTACTGTTTTCTGGTTAGTAAGCATTTAGTATAATACTCAAAAATTTGTTTCTTGTTTAAAGTATTCTTAACGTATTTATAAGTATTTGTGTAAGTATGGTTTATTTCTTATTCTAGTAATGCGACTTTGAAAATCTGTTCAAGTCACAATGGCTTTATTAAAACTAATAATAATCCAGCCATATTTTTTCTCAGAACCCACACTGTATATGAGGAATTATTCATATATTAATAGTTCTGTCCCATGGATTTCTTGCAGATCCGTCCAAGTTTATTCTTACTTGCTTCGAAAATAGTTTATCGTGATGGTGCGTCACTTAATAGGCAACTTAACCAGAATTGAAGACTACTAAACGAGTTTATTTCCTTCGAGAAACCGATTAAGTCAACATGCTAATAATAAAATGAACTAATCTTATACTTAATTACAAAGTTACTCAAAACCACACCTATGCTCGTGTGTTATGTTAGTATACAATTAAGTATAAAGAATCATAGTAGGAAGGGTCGTCAACTCGTTCTGCACAAATAACATGCAAAGATGCACAATTTTAGTTCCAAGTCGAGAAACTTCATATTAGTCGAAATATACAGTGCTGTGTCAAGCAGTCAGGCCAACCTAAGCACTGTACCACACTTCGTTTGTCCTAGACTTTGGTATTTCTGACCTAGCAATCATGAGTATTTACTGGGCCTGAATGTAGTACACGCCATAATTTCGTGTGCTTCCTACTAGTTTGAAACAATTATTGTGATTATTATCATCCTGAAAAAAGTATGTGTTTGCGATTGTATAGCTTTGAAAATGAATTCGCTAAAAAGAGATCTTTTCGCTGAACCAATCATATTTAATGTCTTAATGGGTGTATTCCGTTTACTTAAACAAAATAAACATATTCTTGTATTTAAGCTGTGTAGTTATAGAGTAATTATTTAGCACATCACCTATCAAAAAGAAACATGCTGGTTCAACCCCATTAATTATTAAGTAGCTTCTTTCTCATCTCTAATCAACTGTTTATTCTGAATTAGAAATCCTATAGAACTACTCAGTATCCTCACTCTAGTTCTCCACAATTCTATCATACTGTAAGCTGTTAGATACACAAGTCGTTTCTCATGAATACTACGCTAAATGAGTGAAAATTCAATGTTTTTACGAATTCTTGTTGCTACATTAGCATCGTTGTATAAAAGATATGTATCACGATCAAACATTTGTGTGTACGTGACGTGTTAATCTGTAAATACTTTTGTTTACGCTCGACTAATTCATGTGCTAAAGTTAACATCGCCTAGATAATCTATTTAGTCATTCAAAACAGCCACTCGCTCAGTTTAATTAAGAGTTTGTAGGGATTGCCTAAACGTGTGATTTATGGGTAATTTTAGGTGTTCCTTCGCTCCGTGTGGTAAAAACGTATCAGTCGATGATAGGTTTGCTACCATAATGAATCAACTAAAAAATTGTATTCCCAAACTTTTGTATAAATACAAATATTGGGTAAAAACAGCACTACCTTTTCAAAAATATAAAAACCCACAATTATTTTTTTGTAGTTTCAATGGAGCATACCAGTATCAACTATCCTGAGATATATAAGGATGAATCTACTATAGAGGAAAAATTTGATGTCCAGGTACGAGGATTGTTTTCCTCATATTTTTTTAACTACCCATTAAGGTTGTGCCATTCCAAAACAATGCTTTTAATATGTATATAAGACTTATATGTGTAATCGAATTCTGCCCACATTAAATCAATAAGTTTTTGAATCTCTGTCGACTGAGATGGTTAGGATATGTACTACGTAAACCCATCCACCAACCACCTCGACGTGCGATAATGGCTGGTGCAGGAGCAGGTTAGGAGAAATGTAGGGACGGCCAAACCAAGACATGGTATTAACACATAAAGACACTGACTGTTGAACTGAGTCGTGTAGGTACGTGTAGATTATTTGGTTGGGGTCCACGTGATTTTGGTAACCGATTGTTAGAGATGGCGCAGGTACATCCCCTCTAGATTCCTCATAAATTTTCCCCATTATTTCACTAAGTTATATTTTATCGGATGGTCTCATGTATGTGTAGTCTTTTCTATTACCACTAATACTGCTATTACCTCAACAACTATGGGATTCACCCTGGCAATTTCATCTCTGCACGCTAACGGGTTATAGCAACTTAAACCGATGTATACATATGCTAGGTTCTAGGCTGCGTTCGATTGAGTGTCTAAACCCTTAGTAAAGATTCTCGTGATCGTTTTATAACCAGAAACTAGTACACAACATTACTCTGGAGTACTTAACTAGCTTATTTCAACTTTACATTTCGTGCCTAATGCAGTCCAGTAGCGTGAGATATCTGGTTTGAAATTCAGTAATTATGATTAGTTAATGTAACTTAATAAGCTGTTCGCAATATGCAAGACCTATTCAATTTTAAATATTTCTAGTATTAGAGCAAATAGTTTTGTAAAGTGATAAGCAACCATTTTCCGTTGTTTAAGGAATAAGGAAAAACTCAACCTATATTAATTTGTTGATATTATAGCAATTATTTCTCATGTGAACAGTTTATCCGAAATCCATGGCCGGGTTTCTTCGAATTCGATAACTTAGTGTCGGAAAATTGAATTTTTTCATATACAGTTAGTAATAATCTTCATTCTTAAGTTCGTGCATGCCCAGAAATTCGCAAGGCTCGTTTTGTGAATTAAATACACAATAAGGAAGTACAATAATAGTAATCTTTAGCACTCTACTTAAAGTAGAGGACTAGTCTATTAACAATTCATGTCTTGATGTTAAATTATATACTTAATTGTGATTTTGTATGTTATATGTTCACTTTGTATCGTGGAAATTACCATTGAGAAGTAGATCATTCTCTACTTACAATTTGGCTGGACCTACCTAATTTGTTTACAAAGTAACCTTTTCCTTCCTGGCTAGATTCATGATCCTTACAGATGGCTGGAAGACCCGGATTCTGCCCAGACAAAAGCTTTTGTAAAGGCACAAAATCTGATAACGGAGCAGTTCTTGCGTAAATGTCCATACACTTCGAAAATCAGAGATAGGTAAGTGTATTACTTTAAGTTATATTTTTAGATTAACTGCTATCTGGGACTACGAAAAATACTCTTGTCCATTGAAATACGGCTCCTTTTACTACATATGGCATAATAGTGGATTACAAAATCAAAGGTACTTTTTTATTTGAAGAGGGATTTGTCAGTGTTCTTTATCAAATGAAAACGTTGTCAGGACCCACAAACTCGTTTTTAGATCCTAACGAAATTGATCCAGAAGGCCTTACATCTTTGAGAAACTACAGTTTTTCGGTGGAAGGAACTTATTGTTGTTATGGTCTTAGTTTTGGTGGTTCTGATTGGTCTGAACTTAAAGTAAGTTTACATTTCATTAATGTGTTTTCTTAGTTTAAAATCTGCGAATCGGGCAAAGATCTGACAGATGTTTTGAAACATGTCAAGTTCAGTTCAATTTCGTGGACGAAGGATGAGAAAGGTGTTTTTTACTGTATGTACCCTCAGCACGAAGGTAAAGCGGATGGTACTGAAACAACTACTAATACTGATCAGAAGCTCATGTACCATCGTCTGGGTACACCACAGTCAGATGATATCTTGTTCCTGGAACGACCGGATCACCCTACTTGGAATATGTGCGTATAAACAAAAGTCTTAATTCGAAAGATAATTTTTTTTAATCATTCGCCTATTAACTTAGCCCACTTCTATAGTATGTTCTGTCTCACATTGTCTTGTTTGAAAACTTCCCAAGGCTGGTTAGCTTGATGTTTTCAAGCTTTGTTTTAGCGGTGGCGAGATTGTTTTTTTTCCTGTTGCAATTAATCTCACTTGGTATGCATGTATGACATACAAATCTTGAATCTATTGCTTACCAACATGTATCTAAAAATTTCATCCTACCCCTTAAAATGATGGTGAATGTCAAATATTAGGTTGCAGGTGTTCGGTTGTAAGAGTTCTTAGTTGGATCATCTAACGAACGGCATTTAGGGTGAATCTGGAGTCATTTTACGTTTAGTCGTAAATGTGGATCGATTGATATGAGTGACACATTTCCAACGTCTGATGCTATCCTTCTAAAGACGTAAGAAAATTCCGACAATGTTTTAGCTAAGTCCATTAAGCTACTAATTGCTCGTTATCGGTATATAGGCGTGGTGTTTATTTTAATCCACACAATAACTTCTGTATTACTAATGCTTTTGCTCTTGTCTTTGAATAATTTTGTTATAACGGTTGGATTTCCACGTTTACACTTATGGGACGTAAATTTGCCTTAGACGAATATCTACACTAGATACCTTTCCAGTGTCTATTCTACAGGACTTCAGCATAACTCAGATCAAGAACACATGATTAGTCTGACCAGAATGTAAATATATTTCCACACCAAAACCCGACACAATCCAACAACAATGAACAATCAATGATAATAATTATAAGGATAGGGGAATATATAACTCATCTGACACCTGTTAGACTATTTACATGTCCGACTAAGCAGACAATCACTATCATTCTCGTCCACACATCAAATTTTATCTGCTATATATATAATTTTATTTATTTATTTTGACACATAGATATTGGTACAAGGAGGTACCAGATATATATGCGCCACACAAATCTCATTCGATATGTGTGAGGGCTGGGATACTGCCCGGGTGCCCAAACCGAAACATGATATATATATATATATATATATATATATAAATTTGTAATAATCGTATACCTTAGGATTTTGCGCTAGCTAAAGCTACTTCAGCCTGATTTTGTATTCACCTTTATATACTTTCAGACAGTAAACATATTTACCGTAACGTACGATGCTGAACTAAATTAGGTTTAAAACAAGAGTTGAATATCAAAAAACGTTGAACTACGCTAGTCTGTACATTCACTGACCGTTGATCTAGGCCACATAAAGACTCATAATTCCTTTTTCTAGTGCTCAAGATAATGGTAGTCAATGAATAAAGATGGTTTATATTTTTCCACGTAGTTGGTGTATTACTAACCTTTATTTATTTATCTAAACAGTTTTCAATTTTTGTTGATTGTTTTTCCAATGTTTCATTTCCACAAGATTGTGTCTGGTACTCTTAATATTATATCACGTAAATCGAAATCAATAAGATTATACGTCTTTGTTTCATTGATATGATCTCTTACACTGGCATATGTTTTCGTGTTATATGTATTTTGAAATATCAGTCAAGGAGAAGTGTCTGATTGCGGGAGATACTTACTGGTAACTTTGTATGATGGATGTGAACCCAATAACCAGCTTTTCTACTGCGATCTTGAAAAATTCGATCTACTTATCAAAAGTTAGTTGTTACGTAACCAGTTTGTCTTTGTGCATTAACATAGCATTGATCTTTGATGTATACTAGACCCAGTGATTAAGTAGTTTTTGTCTTACGATTCTTGTATTACCATCAATGTATATCATATTCTTAGTATCTGTGATCTCTCAGCGAACACGACTTGGTGCTGGTTTATTTTAAAGCCAATACAAAAAGTTTGTAATTAACCAAGCTTCAGGGATGTGGAAGCTAGATGAAGTGGTGTGAAGGGCTGCGGGCAGTATAACGATCAGTAAATCAGCTGACATAATCAGTGGTTTTCTGGACAGTGTACCTTAATTCGACTGTAACTCTTCCCACAAATTAGATAGAATTTAATCTCTGGTTCTAACATAGATTATGTCCTAATGGATATAATTTCAGTGGTCCTAGTCTTCAGTTTTCTGTTTGAATACACGAAAAGCAAATACTATGTTAAATTATTAAAGACTGTAGTCACTGCAACATTGCCATGTATTTTCAACGAATAATAACAATAATACTTAAGGTTTATATATTTGTACACCGTTATTATGAGTAAATCAATGAGATTATTGAATGTTTCTTTAGGAATAATGATATGCAGTTGTATATTTGCATAGTTTGATTTTCAGTTAGCCTCCATTTTCCACATTTTGCGCTAGGGTCATGTATTATAAACCTCGCCATCAAATATTGAAACATTCTCCGTAGTTCATTTTGAGTAGCAACATCAATGAAACCGTTACCAGTGTTAATGATAATTCTTTTTAGAAAAAATTGAGTTGATTCCAATCGTCGATCGCTTTGAAGCTGTCTATGAATATGTGACAAATGAAGGTGATTCATTTGTATTTCGCACCAACTTAGATGCTCCGATGTACAAGATAATCAAAATCAATCTTTCTAATTGTGATCGTGTAAGTTTGTCTGTATGTGACTGCGATTATTATCCTCATTTATTGGTCATATTTCATAGCAATTCTGAAGACTGCATCTTTTTTTCCTGAGGGTACCAGAAATATATATATATATATATACTTATGGACAGATTATAATAATTGTTAAATCATATCACCATTTTGCGATATTATATTCAATCTTTTCAACCGATTATCAGTTAACTACCATGGGATTGAATTCACTTGGTATTGTTTGCTTGAATCTTCCCATAGATGGTGGCTAGCAGTGGAATCCAGGACACGCGTTTCGTCATAAGTGGATAACGCGGTGGCGTTTGAAGCGAACGGTACTGGGTTCGGGTCCCGGAGTAACCATCAACTCTGGGATTCAGGTACATCTACCTGACGAGTCCCAAATAGGAAAAAACGCGCGTCCTGGATTCCACTGCTAGCCACCATCCGTCTTTGCTTATAATATCATAAGATTGATTTATTGGGAGCTGATGGTTCTCACTGAACGACCATATAGCTTGCAAAAACTATGTAGTTGATTCTCTTTAGACTTTTCAGCGTTCTATCCTGGCTTTAGAATAAACAAACTAGTATGAAATCTCACTAAGTAGTTATGGTGCTAAATGATTTTATTTTTCCACGAATTATTAAGTGTATAAAATATATATTATGTTGTGAACAAATGCAAATAAACACTTGCCATGTGCGTGATCATATATGCAATTTCATTTGATTTTCAAGTGAGAATGACAAATATGATTAACCCCATGATCATATTCTAAACTTTTGTGATTTTTTTGTTTGAGTCACTTGATTTAATTGGGCCTTCTACAAAGTGTGCAAAAACAAGCTTAGTGTAATGGCATGTACTTGATATATATATGGTGAAAATTTATTCAGTGATTGTTTTTTTTACAATAAATGTCCTAATTCTATTTTCCATATATTCTAGCAACATTGGGAAGATCTTATCGATCACAATGTGGAATCACTCTTAGAAAGTGCAGTTTGTGTGAACGAGGATAAATTGATCATTTGTCATCTAAAGAATGTTAAGGTCAGTTCTGTATTATTTCCTTAAATAATATTCACTAACCTAAATAGCCTAATAAAAAATAATTCTCGAGTTTGTATATCTATTAACCAGTTATTCGAAGTGAATAATGCCTCGTGAACAGAAACTTGATAGAAGTCACAAGTTATTAGTGCAGTAATTAAAAGAAATCTTCGACATATTAAGGATGGGAATTGACTTTTGCATGAGTTTATCAAGTTCAACTGGCCCAACTAGTGTCCTTTCTCCCAATTTACGTTATGCAGTTACATAGGCAACTTATAGTTCATTACCTTTTGTTGGATATTCCATGGTTCGTTGATAAGCTCCTGATGACTATTGCTATTAACTTTCATTATCTCATGCACTAGCATTTACGATATGTTGTCCACGAAAACGGCATTTTGTCACTTTTATCAACTACAGGATTCTGGACACAAATACAGAAAATATTTTATACATGTTATATACATCCAAAATTTTTATTATATTGGGACACGTAACATTTTCTAACTTGTGTCCATTTAGAGCTGCTTATCCGTACACAAACTACTCACTGGGGAGAAGATATCGGATATTGATATTTCACTTGGATGCGTCGCTAATGTAACTGGACGCAAACGTGATGATGAAGTAGGTTGTGATTTATCTTTTATAAAACTTAATTTTTCTCAATATAGGCTTTCATCCATTTTACATCGTTTCTCACTCCTGGAATAATTTACTCCTACAATTTTTCCCACTCTCATCCAAAGTTAGAGGTAAGTAGTTTGGCAGGTGAATTGTTTGTAGCATTACTTGTTTTTGTGTACTAGTATTGAATTCTACAAATCAGAAATGGCATCATGCGTATCCTGCGGTTTTCAACACTTGTTGACTGGTGAATTAAAGTTACTTTGTCTACCGCTACCATCGTAAGTAGGAATTAAGCACCTGCTCAAATGTATCATCTTTCAGCTAATCTGTGATCGGAGTATTGTAATCTGGTAGTTACTATACTTAATGCTAGCAACCTTTTTCACTGCGGAGTGGGTAGGCTTGTCCACAAAACATAGATCACTGGTCATACACACCATCAACCTATCGTTTTCATACCATTGCTTTGTTCATTTAGTAGTGAGCTTTTATGGGTATTCACATAAAAAATATAATCAAATTCTTAGTGTCAGTTCACGTTCCATTGTTCGTATTTCTTGGTCAAGTAAATGGCTCCAAGTTAATTAATGTGATCACGAACTTTACTTCGTCCTCTTACTTAATCACCATGTTCATACATCAAAAACTTTTTTTAGCTATCTTACATATTATATGTCTTTCTATTTTTGTTACTTACATGTGCAAGTTTACCTGTTATTATCCTTGTTGATGTTAATGTTTGATGACAGGTTATCAGAGAGTCAAAGATTCGGGATGTAGACTTAGATCAATTTGAAGTGAAACAAGTATTCTATGAAAGTAAAGATAAAACTGTAGTTCCCATGTTTCTTGTTCTACCTAAAGTAAGTAAAAATATTAAACGTCTTAGTATATATAAATTCACTACCTTTATATAACTTGTCCTGTCGATATCGTCACACATCCATCTTTCAATACCTTTTAACTAGAATACTAGTCATCTATGAAAATCCGTGCTCATTGTTCATATTTGTAATAATACTGGATTAATGTCTGTCTATACCTTCTATTAAACTCAAAACGTTTTGTGATAAACCGAACAAGGCAGCTACCATCAACCTAATCAACTTTGTTTAAGTTGTGCTATGTACTACTGCTAAGGGTAAAACGTTTAACTGATTTCATGATTACTGCGATCTGAAGTATTCCTATAAAGTACGACTTTTCATTGGCTCTGAATCTCTTGCTAATGAAAACTAGGGAAATGAACTGAAAATCACTTCAAAATGTTACATCTTAAAGTGGAACTTAATTAATTCTTTTACGATCTCTTTTCAAACCGCGATGATAATAATAACCATATAATTTAGTCCTACGTATCATTGCCGTTAAAAAAATTTCAGCACAAAATATGCTGTATTGCAAAGAATTTCCGCTCAAAATTCACCTGACTTATGAGTATTCAAAAAATATTTATAAAAACGTTTTTAAACACCGATTAGCTTTCATTCACATCAATCCACAAATGTTTACAACCGGTCTTGGTCCCATGAAACTTCGTTTCACTTCATTATATATTTGATATGTGAATTCTATAGTAATAATCTATCTTTTCTTCAAAGAACAGAAAAAATGTCCACCATCCACTGTGATTTGTCCTCAGTAATTAGATTCGCAATAGGTCTTAAAGATTTAATAAAACCATGTGAACACACGGTTATCATACGTAATTAGTTAATTAAAAAATTACAAAACGGGAGTATTTGTGTCAACAATTGCACGTTCGAAGGATAAGTGCCCCAAGCGTTTGACTCGATTGCTCAATCAAATGGAAATATTAGCTACCTTGTATAAACAACATTACGGTGCAAATTTCTAAACCATATTGTCTTCTACGCGATCAGATGATGAAATTTAGATTTAAATGTATCAAAATCCACCGAAATCCACTTTAATAGTAATCTAATTACCAAGACCACTTCCTAATTATTATTCTCACAAAACCAGGTGTGCCCTGGGAGAGTCCGCTCTCCCTCTCGAAATGCTCTCATATTGCCACACATATACAGCCTCTGCTAGGGAAGTCTTACTCACTGCCTTCTCGCTGAGGGGTGTTGTTTACGAAATTGAGGGGATGAAAAGCGAATGTTCGGCACTTTAACCGATCTAGTGGATATGGCGGATCCACCTAGGGGAGTTGAAAAATTATTATTCCAAATGAATGGTGCACATGGGCTCCAGGATCTCGAAGGAACAAATGACATATGAACCAATCGTTGTTCACCGACTACCACGAGACTACATCTCCTGACTTTCCTCCCTTGTGGATCGAAGACTCCGGGTGTTGACCCCCTAAGAAAACCACCTGCTTCGGTTTAGGCACCCGGGAAGTATCCCAGCCCTCACACAAATCGAATGACAAAGTATGAAGCATATATATTTGGTACCTCCTTGTGCGAATGTTTATATGTTTAAATAAATAAATAAAGATATGAAAACCATCGACCTTGTGTTCTAATCACTGTTTGCATTTATATCTACACTGGTGTCTCGCTTCATATTTCACCTTGCCAAATTAGCTACTCCTTCTGGGAAGGCTTATTAAATTATGGTGAGTTTTAGCTTAATCAATTTGAATGGTATTCATTTCGTCGTCAAAAGTCGTCACTGTTCCGATTCACTCTATTTTCCCTTATTTTTTACTTTTTAGAATTTCCAACAAAACAACTCGGCGCCGTGTCAACTTTACGGCTATGGTGGATTTAACATATCTGTTACTCCATCGTTTTCGGTTGGACGATTGTTTTTCTTGATGCATTTTGGTGGTATAATTGCAGTAGCCAACATTCGTGGTGGAGGGTTAGTTTAACTTGGACAATTTTTTTCCATTATGTTCATAATTGTTGTGACGCGCGGTGTCTAATAATTGAAGCTAATGCCCACTCTTACACACAAGACCGACTACCTGGGTGAAAAGATGAAGAGTGAAGTTTATTTGGGCTAAATCGAATCACATGTAGTTAATGTCTCATCCTTTGCAAAATAAAGCCATCGTTTGGCTATTTGATTACACTGATCACTCGGCGATTCCTGATTAGTCTGCTTTATCAATTTTGTGTAAAGTTTTTACTCAAGCTCACAGTGTTAGGTGGTCGGTGTCATTAGTCTCAATTGTATCCATCTAGGCATGGAGTTTGTGATCAATGAAACTGATTAAGATACACCAAGATCGTTCGTTTTTAATCTGCTTATGGCGTATGTAAGATATCTAAATATTTTGTTTAAAATATTTAGCACATATCAATCCTCTCTATTCTAAAGATTCGAAGCATATCTGATGAAAATGGTTGGCTTGCGAGCATTGTAGGTATTTAATTACAAGTGCCTTTTATTAAATCACTGGCTGATCGATGTAGTTATGAGTCTGAAACGATTAATCTGCTCTGGGCCATGTGAATAAACTCTCATTGATTCACGCGGTTGTGTTGTGGCTAAGTTAACTAGAATCAAATTTTTTGTATTCCTGTTCCTCATACGCATATAATTTTATTTGATAATTGATAGAGAATATGGAAAATCTTGGCACGACGCCGGTCGGCTGCAAAACAAACAAAACTCTTTCGATGATTTCCAAGCAGCAGCCGAATACCTTCTTAATCATGGATATACTAACAACCAAAAGCGAGTTTTCTTTTTGTTCACTGTTTTTGGGTTTTTTTCATTTTCGCTTATTAATCATAACGAATTATAGCGAATTGAACATCAACGTTATATTAGGTGTTTTAGTAATAGGTTGGTGGTTGTTCATAAACGTAAATTTGCATTTGGGTACATCAAGTTCTTGAAAGGAAGTTAGATGCGACATCTGTTCTTAGACTTATGAGAAATCAAGTCACTGACTGTTATGTAAAATGATTCACATGTGTTATTCGAGAGATCAGTGAACGCATCAAAGGACAGAGTTCGACTTTTATGACTATATTGTTTTCTCACTCATCAGTCGCTTCTTATAATCAGCTTTAAATCTTGCTTTTTGTTCCTTAGTAATTTGGATAAATAACACATGATTATAGATCTTTGCGGATACAATAAAGTTAGGAGTTGAGTTCGCTTTTATCTGTTCTATCGTGGGAATTCTTTACGAGTATTGGGTACGCTACAAATAAATATTAATAGTATGCAAACATTCGCCAGTAAACTTTTGAAACACTTCCCGTTTGTTTGATAACTTAGTTAAATTTGTAGCTGTAATTTCTTTTAAAACGAACATGTTTCCCATATTCTGTACACAATATCGATTTATCTTGGTTTTATGAGATTCATGTTTTGGTACTTACAATACTGTCCAAACCACAGTTTTAGTTGTTTAGTTTGTTTTTATAGCCACCAATTTTCTTTTAAAAAAACGACCAACTCATCTTTAAACTTTTAGACTGTACATTCAAGGAGGTAGTAATGGTGGACTTCTAGTTTGTGCCTGTTGCAATCAACGACCTGATTTATTTAAAGCTGCTATTGCTCAAGTCCCAGTGTGCGACCTTATTAGATTCCACAAATTTACGATTGGACACGCCTGGAAAAGTGACTATGGAGATCCTGATAATAAAAAGGATTTTTCAAACTTGATGCGGTAATCCATTTCTAAATCATTTATTCATTTCCTATTTTTGGGACATTTTCATGTTTATCATTTAACCCTTACTTAACCGTAACTCTTGTGATCAACTCACACATCTCTATTTCATGTGCATCAATTAGTTGATGACTTTTTGTGAATAAATTTCGTGATTACCCTTTTACAAACCTCATACAACTAAATCGGTCGACACGGAAATGTATTGACTTAAAGCGCTCACTATTTGAGCTGAAAATTTATTATAAAATAACCCATGGCTCTGATAAAATTCGAGAATATATATAAAAACGAAAAATCGTCCAAACGAATAGAATGTATAGCTTATTATTCCTCCTAGCTTATTTTTTTCAAATACTTTGAAGATTATGATAAATATACACCCCCAGTATTGTAAGGGTGTTTGTATAAGCCTGATTCAATATTGCTTGCCAAATTTACTAGTTCTTTTTCTCTACACTTTTTCAAAATGTCTCACAGAAACTAAAAACTGATCCAATATATGAATAAACTAATGATATTCTTCAGTTGATATTAATAGGTTTTGTAGTCCCGTTGTTTAAGGTGTTTTCGAAATAATTTAAATCTAGATTATTCTTTGATTTCACAGTAGGTTCTTGTGTAAAAAGATAGTAATCAGTTTTAATATCTAGCTGACGAAAACGAATTATAGGTCAAGAAAATTCTAGCATCTTATGTGATTCTAAGTTGTACTTATCTACACACTTATTAATATCAATAATATTATGGCTGGGAAATCCGAATAATCTGTAACACCATATTAATACCATTAACGTTTGTTAATCACTAATATACTTGTACTTTTATTCACTGAGTATATTGTTGTAACAATTTGTAACAGAAATCATGTGTAAATATGTTTTGCTTCTTATAGCATTTCCCCACTCCATAATGTCAAGATTCCATCTAATCCAGATGTTCAATATCCAGCTTTATTGATTTTAACTGCAGATCATGATGATCGTGTTGTTCCGTTACATTCATTCAAGTTTATTGCTACTTTACAAGAAAAATTATGTCGCAACTGTCGCCAAACAAACCCTATTCTGATTCGAATTGAGCCAAAGGCTGGACATGGACAAGGCAAACCAACATCAAAATCAGTAAGTTTACAAGCAAATAAATGATTCAATCAAGAATCGTTGAAGTAACAAAAATCTAGAATCTGGTTGCTAAGTCATACTGCTAACCGCATTGGGATAAGATGGTAGTAACGGATAACGAGTGTCTCCAGTGATCCTGGCTCCTCACAACAGAAGAGAAAAGCTTGTAAATCATGACCATGCGGAGAATTAAAAGCTCGTCGCTAGCACGTCGTAAACTAGTCACAAAAGGCTTTGACCGACTTGCAGTACTGTTTTAGACGTTTCAATTAGGCTCCCAAGTCGTCAAAACCATTACCAACCCATGTTTTTCTATTATCCATTGAATTTCGCGAAATGTTATTCACGGTATCTCGAAATGTCGCTCCAAACTACGTGAGTTTTCGATGTCTAGTCCTTGTGTCATATCAGACAACCCTGTTGAGCTAAGACTTTAGAATCTCGAGCGATCGGCACACGTTGTTTCTCCTGAGCTCGCGTACAGAATTGAAGTGTGGTCATTCACGTGATCCCGTCTGACAAATAGAAAAAATACGGCCCACCCTTCGTATACCAGGAGACTTAACAACGACCACTCGTGTTCTTGTAACAGACACTTTGAATGAGAGCTTCCTATAAAGATTGCTGATGACAGTACTTTTCTCTTTCCGATTAACAACTCAGAAAGACAGGTGAATCGCGTTGGCTTTTCGTCGTTTGATACCTACTCCGTCACCACGCTGAAAAATAACTCGTTATGTTAGCGTCACAACCCACCAAGCAGACAACTAATCGTCTGTTGCATACTCAATCAACCGCTTGTTCTTGCCAAGTACCAAAGTATGGAGCAGGCCGCAAATGTTCGGTTAAAGGTGCCTTAATACCATTCTCGCATGTTATACAACAAACGAGTGAGCAATGCTGAGGTTAGTTGTGAGATATTAGGCAAAGATGCTAAATCAATTGTTGTCAATCCTCAGCAACTAAGATACCTGGGACATAAGTATGACCAACTACCGACAACCATAACGTAGAATAATGGCTGGACTGGTAGTAGGTTTAAAGTGAGGTAGAGGCACCCAAACCAAGACTAAGCATTAATCCACGAAATCACAGACTACCGGACTATGTCGTGGTGGTAGGTCAAAAACTACCGAGTCAGTAGTCGGAGACATTGGATAGCATGACTTAGAACCGGTTACAGTGGCACACATGCATTCATTTATCTTTCTGCGGATCTTGAGTTACAGTACTATTTCATACGTAATTTTCCCGGAAACACATTCTCATTGTTCCGTGTTTTTTTTACTGCTGATACTTGCTATGTCTCGGTAATATCCTTTCATCGTGCTGACGTGGTATGACTACTAGGGTTGACGCACATCTATGCTAGGCTTTATGTAGATTTTGATCGACTGGTTTATTATATGAAATATGGATGTCGGATGACCACAGTATTTTCGTTTAGCGATTTGTTCATCTACTTGAGGGCACTAGCAAAAGGGTAAACTTAATACTCCCTTGCGCTTCCACAGTTTATTTAAAACTCCAGATCTTAAGCAATATCTCAATACCCCTTACCCTATGTAAAATACAAAGAGGACCTGAATGGTAGGTGTTCTGACCAGTTTCGTGTGATAAAAAACTGATTAGTTATTATCGAAATTTCACTAGAATGCAACCAACATGTGTCCAACTCGATGAAAACTCATGTTTACATCTTAGTTTGTATTTTAAGAGTTTGCTTGTCTGTCACCTTCACTGTTGTAGTAATAAGTATTATCAATCACATTTTATTCTTATTGTGCATATATTCTATTATATGCCAAAGTTACTGAAATATTTATAAATATGTATAGTAAACCATTTTTAGTACTCATTTATTGTACCTTGCATTTCTATACATACCGTGATGATTTGCATTTCAGATTAACGAGGTAGTAGATATATACTCCTTCTTACAAACTACAATGTCACTCACATGGAAAGAATAATATGGATTGTTATCGCAATTACTAGTCTTTGAATTTTTGGTACCTAATAATCTCGTCGCTGTTGTCAATATCTATAGATTAATTTTACTAACTGCCCGCGATTTGATTTGTATGAAGATCGTCTGTGGTGCTTTGTTTATTTATTAACATTCTTGGCTTTCATATATATATTTCGTGTAACTAAACCAAACTTATACATTTGTTATGACGTATTAAAAAATATTTAATGATATTACTAATCGGTTGATTCACTGTTCATCTTTACGGTTTGATAGTTTAGTAGATTTCAACGGTGGCTTGTAGTTTTTTTTATTGTAAAACGATATGTAATAATAAATAATACGAAACGTAACCGTTAGTAAATAACAAACCGACATTGTTTCCCTCATCACTAAAACAGACACTTATCCAGTTAGGATTGAAAGGTTTTATAGACAATGCTACACTATTTGCTATATGTGCTTTGTTAGATTTCATGCTCGTTTCACCTAAAGGTAACTGTTATAATAAACCAAATGCCAAATTTATTTTTAAAAATAATGAGCTCAGTAAAATCCAGGTATGTTGTGCATCCAATTATTAGCCGAACAGCACATAAACGACTGTTACAGGGATCCACTCCAACAGTGCTTGTTCCTTCCTCGTACTCAATGCTATGCCTACACCTGTCAGTCCACGAGAACTGGCCATCGGGTCGCCAGATAAACAGAGGGTGTATCTCGTCGGCTGTCCGTTTTGGCGAGGTGAGGTCAAGTGAATGACCACATTAGGATCCTGTATGCGTGTTTCGGAGGTACAGCATACATCAATGGTACGAGATACTTGAGTTTCAGCCAACGAGGTCTACTGCCGATTTCACTAAGTCAGTCAGTCAGTAACAACGTAGAACTTCGTACGTACGTACATCAGTTCGAGTTGCCACACCACATTAGCACAGAGATGCACTTGTCGATTCAAATCCCGTAGTGATAGAGGTAATAAGAGTATAAGCAGTAATCGGGAAGATTAGGGTTTGGAGATGTTATTTAAAGAGTATAATCCAGTGAAAGAAATTTGGAAAGAGGAAAAAAGGGACATGAAGAATTCAGAAGATTAGAGTTTGGGAGAACACAGAGAGTGGATGGACCTGCGCCATTGCAAACGATTTTGAGCCATGTCATTCAGGGTCTCTAACCATCGGTTGCTGTCATCTCGCGGTCCCCAACCAGGTAGTCTACACCTACCAACATGACTCAGTTCACTTGTCAGTGACTTCATGGACTTGTGCCATGTTTTGGTTTGGCCGCCCCTAGCTTTCTTCCAACCTACTCCTATACCACTGAACATAGCACGTCGAGGCAGTCGGTGGTTGGGCATACGTAACACGTGTCCCAGCCATCTCAACTGATGAAGTTTCACTACGTCATCAATTGATTTGCCATCCTTACCTAGTACCCGTTTCCTAACAAATGTGTTACTTACTCGATGGTCCCATGATATACGAGCAATGTTTCGAAGACACCTATGATCAAATACTAGTAACCTACGGATATCCTCTACTCTTACCGGCCATGTTTCACTGCCATAAAGTAGGACGGAACGAACTGCTGCGCAGTAAACACGTCCTTTGGTTGATAGACGGATATCTCGCCTACGCCATAAATGACGCAAGTTGGCAAAAGCTAGTCGAGCCTTCTGTATCCGTGCTGAGATTTCGTCACACACTAAACCACAAGGGCTGATAAGACTTCCAAGATAAGTGAAGCGGTCGACACACTCAACTACTTCACTCCCTATCACTAGTTCGGGTGTCGATGTAACCCAATCCTGAAGCAACATTTTGCATTTCGAGGGAGAGAATCGCATCCCAAACATGCTTGCATTGTTGCTTAGAGTGGTCAGAAGACTCTGCATTTTGTCAGCGTCTTCACCAAATAAGACTATGTCATCTGCATATTCTAAGTCAACAAGTGAACCTCCTGGTAGAAGTTCAACTCCTGGAAATTTAGATGAGGAGAGTGTTATCTCTAAAAGTACGTCAATGACAAAGTTGAACAAGAATGGGGAGAGTGGACAGCCCTGACGAACACCACTTGAGGTAATCAATTCTGATGACAGTTCGCCATAAGCTCTCACTCTACCAGTTGTGTTCGAGTAGAGAGCCTTTATAAGGTTAATGTACTTCTTTGGTACTCCTTTCAGTGACAAACACTGCCATAGAACCTCACGATCAACGGAGTCGAATGCCGCCTTAAGGTCGAGAAATACTACCATTGTGGGGCGTCTGAATGTGTGTCTGTGTTCTAGAACCTGACGTAGTGTGAATATCTGATCGATACAACCACGTCCAGGTCGAAAACCAGCCTGGTTTTCTCTAGTCTGCTCTTCACGAGCTTTAGTTAGGCGTCGAAGTATTATTGAGGCTAATATTTTAGACACTATATTAGTCAAACTGATTCCTCTGTGATTGTCACAAGAGGACTTTTGTCCTTTCTTAAAAACTGGCACAATCAGTGATTGAGACCAGTCAGATGGGATTACGTCCAGTTCCCAAATTCTACCTAAGACCTCAGTTAATCTCATTGCTAATACTGGACCACCATCCTTAAAAATCTCAGGAGTAAACCTGTCAGGGCCTGCTGCTCTCCCTCGTTTCAGATTTCCTATGGCTTTTTTAACTTCGTAAAGGGACGGAGGACCTACATTAACTTGCCATTCAGGTTGACTGGAGATCGTGGGAAACCGAAGTGTGGCTGAAGGCCAGTTAAACTGATCCCTAAAGTGTTCTGCCCATCGATCCAATCTCCTGGATTGAGAATGAATAATATGTCCATCTTTCTCTGAGATTGTTTCGCTAACGGTCGGGTTCCTAATTCCGGTTTCCTTAACGAGTCTAAACAATTGTCTGCTATTACCTATTGCCGCTGCCTTTTCCATCTCTCTTGCTTTCGCTACCCACCACTGTTCGCGATCATTGCGTAGACTTCTCAGCTTGCGCTTAAGCTGACTCCGCTCTTCATTATGTTCAGAGCCAGGTGGAATGAGTTTTCGAGCATCTATCAGTGCGATAGATGCTGCTGAGATCCAGTGATGCTCCCTAACTTTACGGTTTACCTTACTAGCAGATATCACTGCTGTTTCCACAGCTTTTCGGATATCGTTCCATGCTGCCTCGGGGTAGGCATCACATACATGGCTGCCTAACTGTTTTCCTAGTTGTTCCTGAAATATATTCTTAGCTTGACTATCATTAAGTAGAGCCCTAGGAGGTTTCCTTGCAGGATCTTTCCTACGTCCAGTAAGATGCAAGCAAATACGCGCTCGCACTAGAGCATGATCTGAATCTAGGCATGTGCTCCAGAATGAGCGACAGTCTTCTATCGAGCCCCTCCATCGGTGGCTGATAGCGATGTGATCTATTTGGGTCCAACGTTGGGACGAATTAGGGGGTCGCCATGTTAAAAGATGTTTTTCCTTATGCTTAAAGTTAGTATTTGCAAGGAACAGGCGGTTATCTGAGCATAGCTGCAACAGACGGTCGCCATTATCTGTTCTTTGAGCCACGACACCATAGGATCCACCTAGGTGTCTTTCCTTATTGCTTAGTTTACCTACTTGAGCATTAAAGTCACCGGCCACTATTACTACATCCGAGCGCTTAGCTTTTCGGAGAAGGTCCGAAAGCTTTCTGTAAAACTCATCTTTTACATCATCTGAGCTGCAGTCAGTGGGAGAATAGGCAGAGACGACGAAGAGGCAACGACGAGTGTCCCTATCTTTCCGGATTCTTACTGTTCCGTTCAGTCGGACAGCGCACAAACGACTGTCTACTGGGATCCACTCTAAGAGAGCTAGTTCTGCCCTAGGACTCAATGCTATACCTACGCCGGCGAGGCCACGGGAAGCAGAATCAGGGCTTCCAGATACACGAAGCGTAAATCGAGTCGGTTCTTTATTTTGGCATGGTGAGGTCAAATGAATGACGCTACTTGGATCCTGTATGCGCGTTTCGGAGACGCAGCACACATCGATGGCGCGAGATTCTAAAGTTTTAGCTAAGGAAGCCTGCTGTCCTATTTGGCAAAGTGTTCGTACGTTAAAAGCTCCTACGTGTAGTTTAGAGCGTGGTTTTAGGAGACCAGGAATGGCGTTCCACGTACTCGAATCGTTTGCCCTAGCGGTGCGAGGTGATAAAGAGACGTGAGGAGGGTTAGTCGGGAGGATAAGAGAGGTATTAGGAGGTGTAGGAAGGATTTGAATGTGACCAACTTTGTCTCGTGTGCTGTTACGGGTATGAGGGCTGATGTCACTTCCCGGCTGCCCACACCGTGGAAGGGTATTTCTTGATGAACCTGAAAAGGAAATTGGATTAGTGCTGGTCTTGACAACCTGGGAGCGTGACCGCAGAGCCCAAGGGACAACTGCTTGAGGCCGGTCGCGCACGGCCTTTTTGTGGAAGGTTTTTGACGTGTTAGCTCCGTTCTTCAAGGGGCCTTACCGCCGGAGACGGAAATCCGTGAGGTAAGGTGAGGTGTGCATTTTTAGGGTCGACCTTTTCTAACCCCACCCCTCCTTGTGGGAAGGCAGCATCGCTGTCATGCTGGTTGTCCGAGGGAAACACCTTACTGCTGTCACACCTCTCTACAGTCAGCAGTACGACTTCGCCCTCAGACCTTGAGTTGCTGCTTTTAGTCTTACCGTTCGCCAATCGACCTACCTGGCATGGTAGAACCTGCAGGAACATATGTTCCAGCCAATATAGCTCGGTTGGGTCATCACGATAGGCAAGCCCGACCACCGCGACAAGGTAGCAGCTTCGAGGTTTCAGTAGACCTGGGACAGGGTTTCGCGCACTAGAATCGCTGGCCATGGTGACACTTGAGGAGGAAGCCAAAAGAGGAAGTTTAGTGTTGAAGGTCGATGTAAAAGGAATAACGGGAACTGAGGAAAGAGGTTGATTATGAATACAGTGGTCTTGAGTGCTGATAGAGATATGAGGGCAGTTATCACCTCCCGGTTGCTCACACCGTGGAAGGGTTCTTCTGGAGGTACCTGAAAAGTAAATTAGGTTAGGAGTGATCTTAGTGAATCTGAAAGCGTGACCACAGTACCCAAAGGGCAGCTGATTGAGGTCGGTCGCACACGCAGTTGTTGAAACCTTAACGCCGGAGATGGATATCCTTCGGACAAGGCGATGTGTGCATTTATTAGGGTCGACCTTTTCTAACCCCACCCCTCCTTGTGGGAAGGCAGCATCGCTGTCATGCTGGTTATCTGAGGGAAGCACCTTACTGCCGTCACACCTCTGTACAGTCAGCAGTACGACTTCACCCTCAGACCTTGGGTTTGCTGCTTTTAGTCTTACTGTTCTACAACCGACCTTGGTTTATCACGATAGGCAAGCCCGACCACCACGTCAAAGTATCATCGGCTGCGAAACGTGGCCATTAAGAGTAGAAGATACTCGTAAGCTACTAGTGTTTGACCACATATGATTTATAAATATTGCTCGCATTTGTTGGGATCATCGGGTAAGTAATAGCGAGGTTAGACACAGGGTATTAGGGAATGATGTTAAATCGGTTGTTGAAGTTGTGAATCTTCGACTGAGATGGATGAACCAAATGTTAAGTATACCTGAACACATTACCACAGCGTTCAATGCTGACAACTGTCGGGGATCGTTGGAAGAAAACCAGGGGAGTCCAAGCCAAAACGTGGCATCAGTGCTTGAAGTCACTAACTTCTAATCTTAGCCATGTTGATAGATGAAGACTACTTGATTAGGGTCCGCGCGACTATCTTAACCAATGTTTGGAGACTGTGGGTGACATGGCTCAGAAATGATCACAATGGCGTAGGTGTATTCACTTTCTTTCTTCCCTTAAACTATGAGATTAAAATTATTTCATATCTTTCTGTACTATATCCTTACATTAAATCTTTTCTTTATATATTACACCAGTGTTCGTCTTGCTGTGCTAATGAGGTGTGGCAACTTGTACCGATGCATATATATGCCTGGTCCTACGTTGTAACTGACTTATTGCATCCAATTCTATTAAAAGGACTTTCTCGGATTAAAAACAATGGGGATAACTACATAACATGAGATATTTCACAAAAGATAAAGTCAGAATGAAAATCAAGTAATCTCAAAAAATAAGTGACAAAATTAATTAAATTCAACAGCGAATGGTCAAAGATGATTATGGTAACTTAAAAATGAGCTTTTCAGTGTCAGTTATTAAAACGCCTACTGCTGCATTCGGGGACTGGTTCGTTGTTTCTTACGCCAACAATCTTTTCGACACCTGAAAGTTTATCAGAACAATGGAGATTTTTCGTAATGATATGCGCAGCTCTTAATGGACGTGATAAAGGCATTGAAGCATGTACATCGGACACATGTAGTTCACTTTTACATGAAATCAGCTTTTTATATTCTTGTAAACATTCATTTTCTTCTGTACTGTTTAAAATAACATATCTTCGTTCATGTGATGGGGATGCAGACCCTGGTCGGTTTCGAAGATTTAGTTGTGCGCCTCCCTCAGAGATACAGTTTTCATCCACATCACATTCGGCTTCAACATCCTCGTCTATTTCATCTTCACTCTCACTATAGCATCTGAATGCTACTGAAGGGATTTCAAGTGGTTGACGATGCCTAATTCTAGTGTGAGCAGGAGATGATGAATGTCCAGCTGAGGGTGATAGAGCACTATTCCGAGGAAAAATTATAGAGCGGACAGCACGGGGTTCAGATGGTAAAGAATTCGAACGCAAATCAAACGTAGAAAATGATGGTGATGAAACTGAATGTAGTGCTGCATGCCTTGGAGGGGTTGACACAGGCTGAAAAATAGGAAAATCGTGATACTAAACTAGACACTAAACAACCAAAGATTAATTGGTTCAGGATGAATTAAATTTCGGCACTGAAACAGACATAGGACTTGTAAACAACTGTGTGGTTAACAGGATATGACTAACCTGGGAAGTCACCACTGTTAAGGAGTTTTCTGCGAAATCTGTAGTTTTGGAAGTTGATAAGGTCTGAGATCGAAGTCCAGATGTGTTGTCGCCTTGGAACTTTTTAGTGGGTGAATCTGATAAGACGGTGCATGAATGTAGATGCGGGATTTCAGCCTTTACTTCGTTATTTTTCGAGTCGCATAAAACCACATAACCAGGATTGAAACCTCCAATACGAGAATTTGGTATGGTAGATGACAAACCGATTGAAGCTAGGCCTAACTTATTCATCCATTTTGATCGGTCAATTTCAGAATCAGAAGCGAACACAAAGCGAACCCAATCATTGAAAATTGAGAATGCACTAACATGAATGAAATATGAAAAACCACATGGCATTACTGAGAGCTATTCAAATGAACTAGCCCAAGTTATTCGTTTGAAACAGCTGTTATTTCCGCAAATCTAGGTTAACAGAGCTATGAAATTAGAACACCAGTGTTCTTGAGTGCTGTTAGAGGTATGATGGCAGTCATCACTTCCCGGTTGCTCACACCGTGGAATGGTTCTTCTGGAGGTACCTGAAAAGTAAATCAGGTTAGGGTGATCTTAGTGACCCGAAGGCGTGACCATGGTGCTTGAGGTCGGTCACACCTTTCTGTGTTAGCTCCGTAATTGTTGGGACCTTACTGCTGGAGACGGTATCCCTGGGACAAGGCGAGGTGTGCATTTATTAGGGTCGACCTTTTCTAACCCCACCCCTCCTTGTGGGAAGGCAGCATCGCTGTCATGCTGGTTATCTGAGGGAAGCACCTTACTGGCGTCACACCTCTGTACAGTCAGCAGTACGACTTCACCCTCAGACCTTGGGTTTGCTGCTTTTAGTCTTACTGTTCTACGACCGACCTTGAGGAACGACTGTTCCAGCTGGTATAGCTCTATTGGTTTATCACGATAGGCAAGCCCGACCACCACGTCAAGGTAGCAGCAATGGTCAGGATCGGAACACCATGATAGTACTAGTTAGGTAAATCATATAACTACGGTTTGTATGTTAATAATAATAGCAATTAGTAAGTAGATAGTTATGGTTAAATCAGTGTTTAAATAAAAAGGAATCTCCGATACATGTATATCAATTTCTAACCTTCAAACTATTATGTAGTATTGTCGTGTGCACTACCTATTTAGACGGACATAAGCATTATGTAGCAGGAATTGGAAGTAGAATGTTACTAGGATGAAGATGTAAGGGACAACTGAAAAAAGATGTGCAAGTGATGTACTCAATGTATGATTTTCGTGTTTTACAAAGCTACTGTCTGATTTCGCATAAAACAAAAAATTAGTTTACCGTACCTGAATTTTCGCTTACTGGAGTATATCTGTAATCCAGAATGCATTGATCATACATACAAGCCAACCGACATATAGAGAAATGTCTCGATTGCACACCATGACTGTGAAATGAACTTTAAAAGGGCAATATTACGTTGCACTGATGATTTTGAATCATCAATCTACAGCTTCGAAAAAGTGGAACGGGGATTTTTAAGGGTTGTTGCATCGTGCAACGAATGTTTTACTTAAATGTCTCTTCAACTTAAAATTACTATGGTAAACCATGATATTCTTCGTAAGTAAATTAACTATGAACGGCTTTTTAAGCTGGAAGCTCAGCAAGCCCATGGATTTGTGTTAGAAACTAGCAAGGACGATATACTGTAGCAATCGACTAGCGAATCTTAAGGCGAGAATACCGTGTAGTAGTCTCCTACAAATTTTGTAGTTGATGGGGTCTATATTGAGCACATCCTATAATTCTAACAGGTGCAATTGAAACGACTTACAATTTTCCCGATTTCGCTGAGACTGCAGGAGTGATCGTGAAACCATGCAACAGAATTAAACCTTCAGCTGAATCATCCTAAAATAAGGGAAACAAATATTTTCCTATTTTTAAAAAACAAGTTAGAACATTACTTCAGGATTTCTGTAATAATAGAACGTTGAGTTTTTGTAAACACACCATCGCTTCACATATTTACTGGTAAGTGGGTTGGTTTTCTTCAACCAAAGCCAACCTTGACAATCTCCCTGTCCAAGATCCTTGCAGGATATACGACGAGCTATATGTAAAACATGAAATTAAAAATCCATAGAAAGCAGTGAAAACAATGGACATAAAAAAAGTCAATGTACTGCTTTTGCGTAGAAAGACCCAAAAGTGTTATGCATGTTTACCATGCAGTTGGATTACCTTTCCACTTAAAATTTGTAAAAATAATTTCTCTTTATCCACCAACGACTTCGGTTAAGTATAGGACAAATATTACCTTAAATGCACCACGGAACAACTTGTCAATGGTAAGGTTTCAATAAATAAGCTCAATTAAATTAGTGGAGTTTCATTGAAATCATGAACCGACCAATGATGGTCTAACATTGATCCGTCCACGATTTCAATGAAACTCAGCTATCTGTACATCACCATGCCGTAAATAAGTAGAATTCGAAATTTTCGATCTCCTGGGTACTGATACAAGGCAATGAGCTTGTAGTTAAATACCACAACCCTCTTTTCAATCTACGACGACAAGGTTCAATGGAGTAAATAAACCGACTAATCCATATAAAATTTTTAAAGAATAGTACAGTACTTCTGATATTAGACAAGACAGAACATATTTAATGTTTTTAAAAATTGCTTGAATCAAAGTGAGTGGCTCGCATTCATCGTTTTTTAAGTAACTTTGTTGATAACCGGCTATTTTAATTAGCAAGCTACCCGCTGAAAAACGATTATGACAATTATAACTTTAAAAAGAAACAATGTTAAAATGTCCGTGTAAGCAGTTTACGTATTAGTTTACTACACATGCTGGGATTTATTAATTTCGAAGTAGAACAGGATTGGGATATTAGCAAAAGAAGGATAAGTAGAACTTACTTGGTTTTCTTGATCCAAATCCGTGTTTTAAAAAAAGCATGAAATCATCAAGACTAGAACGATGAAGCTGTAAAAATAAAACACGCACAATATGATGTTGAGTGGGATACTTGAGGGTACATAATGATATAGTAATGTTATGATTTGAATTATTTTTCTGGTTAGTGTTTTTTAGCGAGTTAGTTTTCTACGGGATGGGGTCGCTAACCACATGCTCAACCCTCCTCCTTTACCCGGACTTGGGAGCGGCAGTAACTCTAGAAGAGCTACGGGCTCTCAACAACAGGTTCCAAGCCTTACGGGATCTACTGAAAGAAGGAGAAACTACTATGGAGGACAACTGGAAAGGTATCAAAGAAGCACTAACTTCAATGTGTCAAGAGGTTCTGGGCCTAAAGAAGCATTATCATAAAGAATGGATCTCTATACAAACATTGAACAGGATCAAAGAAAGAAAGAACAAGAAGACAGCAATTAACAACAGCCGAACACAAACAGAGAAAGTTCAAGCACAAGCTGAGTACATAGAAGCAAACAAGCAAGTGAAGAATAGCATTAGAGCCGACAAGAAGAAATACGTGGAAAAACTAGCAACGACGGCGGAAAAAGCTGCAAGAGAAGGAAATATGAAACAGCTTTACGATACGACGAAGAAACTAGAAGGAAAATATAGTAAACCAGAGAGACCGGTCAAAGACAAAGAAGGCAGGCCAATCACTGAAATTCAACAACAGCGGAACAGATGGGTAAAGTACTTCGAGGAACCCAACTTCGAGATCAACAAGCTGGATTCCGTAAGGATCGGTTGTGTACAGACCAAATCACGACACTAGGGATCATCGTCGAACAACCAGTTGAGTGGAACTCTTCACTGTACATCAACTTCATTGATTATGAAAAAGCATTTGACAGTGTAGATAGGAGGACGTTATGGAAACTTCTTCGACACTACGGAGTTCCTGAGAAGATTGTCAACATTATCCGGACTACAGTGCAAGGTCGTGCATGGAGGACAGCTGATAGACGCATTTCAAGTAAGGACCGGAGTCAGACAAGGCTGTCTATTATCTCCCTTCCTCTTTCTTCTGATGGTCGACTGGATTATGAAGACCTCGACATCTGAGGGAAAACACGGAATACAATGGACAGCTCAGAACCAATTAGACGATTTAGACTTCGCAGATGACCTAGCCCTCCTATCTCATACACATGAACAAATGCAGATAAAGACAGCTAGAGTAGCAGCAGTCTCTGCATCAGTAGGCCTCAACATACACAAGGGAAAAATCAAGGTCCTCAAATACAACACGAAGAACAGCAATCCAATCACTCTTGATGGCGAAACTCTGGAAGATGTAGAATCCTTCACATACCTGGGAAGCATTATCGATGAACAAGGAGGTTCAGATGCCAACGTAACGGCGAGGATTGGCAAAGCAAGGGTCTCATTCCTACAATTGAAGAACATATGGAACTCAAAATAACTTTCAACCAATATCAAAGTGAGAATCTTCAATATGAACGTCAAGACAGTCAGTTCTACTGTACGGAGCTGATACTTGGAGAACTACAACAACCACCGTCAAGAAGGTACAAGTATTTATGAATTGTTGTCTACGCAAAATACTCAACATCCATTGGCCGGATACCATCGGCAACAGCCTTCTCTGGGAGAGAACAAACCAGCTTCCAGCTGAAGGAATTAGGAAAAGACGATGGAAATAGATAGGACATACATTACGCAAATCATCAAACTGTATCACGAGGCAAGCCCTAACTTAAAATCCTGAAGGGAAGGGGAAAAGAGGAAGGTCAAAGAGCACACTGTGCCAAGAATTGGAAGCAGACATAAATATGATGAATAGCAATTGGAAAAGACTGCCCAGGACAGAGTTGGATGGAGAATGCTGGTGAGCGGCCGACGCTCCTTTGTGAGGTGTAACAGAAGTAAGTAAGTAAGTAATGTTATGATTGTATCTTGAAACACTGACCAATACCACGTGCTAAAGTCACTAAACAGAATTTTATGCGTCTACTACATCTATAACTTAGCTTTTCTGACTTGGCCAATTACACGCCCTACCATCACCTGACTTTGACCTGAAACAACTGAGTTCTTATTGGCCCGCAGTTCGCAGACTTGTCTTTACATCTGGCCTTGAGCTTGAAGAATTTAGCAATCAGCTTCTACTGTATTTATATTTCAAACAGATGTAGCTTTTATTACAGCCCTACCAGGTCGCAGTCACATCACAAAATAAAAAATAACAACTATACAGGAACGAGCCATGAATGGCAATGAAAAAGCAAGTTGTAATTAACAGACCGGCAGGAAATTAGAGATAGTAGGTCGTATAACAGTAATTAATGAGTTAACTGAAAGTCTATAATAAATGGAACAATCCCATATTGCTTTTAGTCTAATATCTTATATCTCTAATCTATTTTTGTACAGTACGTATAGTGAGTCTTGTCAAGGAATTCACTTGTAAAACTTACGTTTCTATAGCGTTTATCCAGAGCATGAAACTTAGGAGATGAACTATACA